GTGTCAAGTCATGTAGATGTCTGTGATATTCTGGGGAGGTTGTAGCAGGCATCACCTGCAAGTCTTCACATCTGAGGTGTCCTGAGCTTCAGAAGGAGCATCCAGGTGAAGTGTGCGGTGGATCTGAGCTATGCCACTGCTTTTGTATGGCAGGCCATGTTAGATTACTTCCTGTGGTTGGAAGACGTCCTGTACATCACAAAAATGGTCCTTCTTGACCAGTGCCCTGCAGTTTTGCAGAATATAATTAAATGTCTCTGACTGCTGAGTTCATGTAGCTGAGCGGGTGATGCTCAGGAGTGCTGCAGGAGGGGAGCCCAGTGCAGCCTATGGTTCGTCACACCCTGTAGGGATTTTGTCACGTTACGATGGCAGAACATGATCAGGCCTCGTAGAGGAATGTGTCAGGCTGATACTGTGTTGGGGGAAGTGTTTTCAGATAATTTGCAGGCCACCGGTGGGATAACCGTAGTCCAAAATGTTCTACAGCCAGTGTTCAAGCAATTCAGGACCCAGTACTGGGGACCTGACCCCAGCATGGGGGTAGGAAATCTTGTAGTTGGAGAAGAATAAGAAAATCTAATGTTAAGTTCAGGAAAACCGCTGTAACCGATGAACTGAGACTGGAACTCTGTTTTCAGACTTTCTCACATTTTCCAAAACACTGTCATGATAGAAGCTGTGGGGAAGGTATAGAGGATGGATGGGACCAAAGCATCATTTGACTTCATCCATTGTGCTAAGGAATGCAAGACCACAAAAGATTTTCTGTGTTCATATAATTAAGGCAAGCTCAATTTGTTATGGTTCTCAGCCAGTTTTGTAAAATGCTCAGGCAGACCCTAGTCCTATATGCTAAATTGTTTGCAAAGTTTGTTTAGTTTCTTAACTGATAACTACTAAGGGGTGGGGAGGGGAATGGGCAAGCTGTGATGACGGTTTGGGGTTTTGTTGCAGTAAGGTGGTCATTCAAGCAGCAATTTTATATTGGGAAAATAGTATTTAAAAAGAAAACAGAAGGTATTTGTATAATGTTGACTTTGTTTCCATTCGTTTCTATATCTTCATTTTAGATTATGCATCCCTCTCTAGTATTGTAGTAGGAAAAAACAAAACTGAAGAATTTCCTGACTTAAGAATAAGGACCATGTGTTCTGCCAGGAGTGATGTGTTCCCAAGTACGGCTCTCTGGCGGTCGCAAACTGCGTCAGATGTATTTGTCTTTATGAAGACATATTTGCCTTCAAAGACCTGAATGCTCACCTTCACTGTATGGTCATAGCTCTCTCTTAGCTGTTTTCATCAACTGTGAAATAGCCAGCGTTGGTGTTTCAGTTGTCTTCATGTTTTAGCTGTGAAGGGAGGCCAATTGCAGTTGCCAGATATTTCAGATTGCTGGCCCATTTATGCAGACACCACTTCCTAGTACTTGAGTTGCATTTGATTATTATTTTCAGTGCTGCATATTTGAATGCGCTTTTACAGATCGGTTGGAAGTGCCTAACCTTCCTATACCCCAGATGTATATTTTGAATTAGTAATGTAAAAAGTGCATGGTAGAGCCTTAGCCCTTTCATGACTCAGTTATACTTGCAGCTTTAGAAGATTTGGATCACTTAAATGCATTTATGGTGTATTTGAATCTTTAATGACGTTTGTCAACATCGACTTGTAATTGTGCAAAAGTTACACCAGTTTCCCGATCGTTTAAAATTGTCATGTTGGACTGTGTCTTCATCACATGCTTGGGACCTCATGGACACCGTCTTTCCACCAAGTTAGTTTGGTGAGACCCTGTTTCTCCCATCCTCTGTAAAGCGCAGGGCATGGCTGATGCCTTTGGCTACCTGAGACTTAAAAAAAATCCCAGGTTCTGCAACGACCTCGTCACTGGTGGTGCTCTTGATCTCTCCAGCTCTTTACTTCTAGCACCTTATTTTTGAAGCTTTTGGGCTTTTGCTTAAGGTTTTAAATTGGATACAGGCTGTTGGAAAGCAAAATGCAACACCCCTTCGGTATAGCAAAGTTTATCTGGAATTTATTAAAGTAACTTCATCAATAAATGGTGGCCGTGGAGTTTGCAGGCTGTACAGCCTACCGTAACGCAGTTTTACACTCGTATTGACAAAATGATCTCTTCCTCACTAAATACAAACGCGTAAACATTCGGTGAACATCACTTATTCACTCGTAAGAAACTGGATCGCTCTGAAGTTAGTGCTATTCTTCAGTGCAGTCTGGGGTTAAAAAAGCAGAATGCATTTTAAAGAAAGAAGCTTTCAATGTATTATTTTCATTGGAAATGTTCAATTGCTACTTTTGAAATCTTAATATGTATTTTTCAGATGTCCTGAATTTGTTTCTTTGTCCTGTGAGGAACTTGAGAGAAATGAATACAGACAAATTATTTCATAAAACATGCGAAATGGCTGTGGATTGACAGTTAAATCTGTAATAGTGAATACATTCAATTTTCCCCTTTGTTCTGTCAGCAGTCACTTGTACTCTAAATGTCTATTTAATTTTTTAAGTAGATTAACAGGAAATGTTTGCATTATTTGATTGTTGAATTGACTTTTCCAAATAATGGATCTGTTCCTCAAATATTTATGTGATCTTGAAAATGTTTTTCCATAAGGGAAAAATGCTAAAAATGAATGGGGAACATATTTTGAGTTATTTGTAGTATATGCGCATAATGCCTCATCTGAAATCACTACACACTTGCCTTTCGTTGGGGGAAAAAAAGGCAGTTTGTCATCTGTACTGCCTGCCAAAATTAGATTCAGATAATCCTACCTTTTTGAGTAAATAAGCAGCAGATTGGTCTTAAAAATGAAATTCAAGTAAGCTCTTGATATGTGATATAAAAAATAAATAAGCTAATATGTGAGCAACATAGAGCATTTCAGTGATAGATGATAATATAGATTACCTTTGTTGTTTACATAATTAGGCTGGGCAGGGAAAGGAGAGGGAGAAAGAAGCATTAGTAAATGCTTTTGTTTAGTCCTGTGTGGTTGTTTTTTTTTATTTTGGATTTTTTCTGCACTCCGTGTGCGCATGTGGTTTGCAGTGCACGGATGAGGAATTGTATAGGAAATTTGCAGCTGCTCTAGTTATTCAGTAAGATTTGTATAAGCTGGCACAAGGGACGAAATTAGAGGGAACTTGAATGAGTGCCGTGCAGTTTATTAGCTAGGCAGCCATAATTTTGACCTTGCTGTAGGTTAAAGGACACAGACCTGAGAAGAAATCTGTTTATCATGTAGGGAATTCATGCCATCCCTGACAGTGTACAGTGAACAAGATGGATGATCTGCCAAATTGGTCCCTCGCATGGGTGAATCAGGGCAAATTTACAGTACAATTCCTTTGCTGCTCCTGATACAAAAATAACATTTGCTGGGTTTTATATTCAGTTGTATGATGACCTAGGGTGAACAGAGAAAAGAAATACGATTTGGAGGATCCCTGTTGCCTTAAAGATTTATACGCACCTTGCTTTCCTTTTATGTCTGCCTCTTTTGCGTGTTTCATAAAACACTAAGAAAAAAGTCCAATTGCTTGGTTTGAGAGAGCAACTTTATGTAAGTGCGTCACAGAACCTCTCTTAAATGCAGCACCGTGAAAGCTTCTATTACCTTGAACGACACAATTATGCTGTGCACCCTGCTTCGTTTGAACCCTACTTTTACTTACGGAGTATTTTCCTTTAGTATTTGGGGTATGTTTCCGTGCTGCACGAGCTGCATGTTCTGTAATGATTTGACAGTATTCTGGATAACAAACAAACAAACGAAAAATAATGACATTTGCTGTTAGCCATCGCCGTGGTAGTGACGGGACCTGACGCTGCAGAGTGAACCGCTCTCGTAGTAGAGTTGCAGTGCTCAGGAAAACACAATTCTGTTAGAGGGACTAAGTTTTTGATGTAGACTGGCCTCATCCTTGTACAACTGAGAGCGTTGTAAGCTTCCTCCAGAGATGTTGAGATGAATCCACTGATGTATGAATTTGAGATACATACGATTAACCGTGTCAAGTAATGAGATGTGAGACAGCAAGGAGGAGGAGCAGTCCCACAAAAATGGGAAAGAACTGTGAATGGAGAAATCAAATGTGCTCTTTATCTTTTGAAGGGAATTGTTCTTCTAAACCACATTGTCTACGTGTTGTTGCTTTAAAAAGTGTTTAGACTGTACCCTTAGATGTCTGGATTTTCTGCATAAGCTCAGTTGGTACAGTCCGTTACAGATAAATATGAATTTATTAGGGGAAAACAACGTGTTGTACAGAACCTATTGTTGGCAAATTAACAGATTCAGGAAGTTTTCTTTTAGACAAAGTGTCACAGTAACGTTTGGGTGTCTCCTGATCCACTAGCTATCTTTACATTGGATTCTCAAATATGTTAATTAATACAACATCATTACAAACTGTATTTTAATCTTGTTAAGTTATTTCTGGGCAAAGAGAAGTGCAAAAATGTGATGTGAGTGATAAGAAGCAATATGAAATCAATAACACTCTCAAGATATAAAGTTTATCAGTTATAGAAAATCCCTCATTGACACTACAAAATAGCGGCTAAGTGAGTTTCTTACAAGGCGCAGAAAGAGGCTTAAACCAGTCTATAATGGTAGATTTAAGACCATCCTTATACGAAAATGTTGTGGAAAGCAAAACTATGAGATTTCCCAACCAAGGAAATTTCTTGCAACCTTACAGACTGTTGCACTTCATTTTTTCCTGATTTTTATTTGTATTTGTACATCTTGTCTTTGTAAGAAAGCAGAGATGACTCAAGATAAAATTAGAAAATAATTCTGTTTTTAAAAAGAGGCTTTTTAGTAACCAAGTCATAACAAGTAGCATTTTGCATACTTAGGCATTTCTTTAAGTAGGTAGAATATAAATGAGAAGGAAAGTTAAATATCCTGCAATCAAAACATTACAATTATGCTAAAGTGGGGACTTTTTTCTTTTTTTAATTACAGAAAGCACTCCAAAGACTTCTGCCAGTTGCAGTCCTGCTCCTGAATCTCCTATGAGTTCCAGTGAATCAGTGAAAAGCCTGACTGAATTGGTACAGCAACCCTGTCCCGCTATAGAGACAAGTAAGGATGGCAAATCCCAAGAATCTAGCGAGCCGCCTGCTTCTGAATCCCAATCTACAACACCTTTGCCACTGTCGGGCCACTCAGCACTCAGCATTCAAGAACTGGTTGCTATGTCCCCTGAGCTGGATACGTATGGCATTACGAAAAGGGTCAAAGAAGTGCTAACGGACAACAATCTTGGTAAATCGCTTTATTCTCATTTCTTGACTGAAATAAAATAAGTCTTCATACTTCTATTTTTAAGCTATATTTCAGTAGGTGTTTACAAGAATACTTGGTTTTGATTCCGGCCTAAGCTTTAATCTGTTAAAAAAGATTTTTATTTTTTTTTAAACCAGTAGAAAAATCCTTTCAGATTGTCACTCTCTACTTAAAATGCCATCATACCCTTGCTCTTCTTAAGCTCTGCTCCTGGCTCACCAGCCAGATACTGCTCCCACCTCCCTCAATACAGTCCAGCAGGCTGTCAAGAAGACCAAAACCTCCAAACCAGTGAGATCTCCCCTTGAGAAATGCTGTTTTCCCCATGCTTATAGATTCAAGGCCCCAGCATTTTAGGCATAGGTGAAGTAGAGGAGTCCAGCACAATTGGAGAGGGAGGTGCATCGCAAGCAAAAGCATAGCATACCTGTAGAGCTAGGAGGGCAAATTCAGGCTCAGTTGAGGTTTAGATGAACCTGTAGATAAGTGTATGGGGCCATTCAGTTATTTTGCTTAGAGATGTGCAAAGCTAAGGCTGCTTTTGCTTACAGATTAATTTTTGGGTGTTGAATTAAGCGTAATGTTGACATGGCTATATATTTGGAATAGTCAAAGGGAATAACCTGATCTGAGTATGGGAAATCCACGCTTAATACTGCCACCCTGCCTCTAAATCACTAGTTCTTCATAGGTGTTTAACACTTGCTTCCCTCACAAGGCGTTGGGAAACCTTTAGGAGTCCTTTGAAGTCTCTAGTGGGAAGGCGGTGAGGCTGCCCCAGTGTTACCTGCACGTGCTTCTGGGGCTTAGCGTGGGATTCATCTCACCTGCATTTAGATGTTCAAAATAGATGTCTGAGATGGTTGGGATGAATCACTCTCCAGAAGTACTGGTTTCTCTCCATTCACTACAGATGGGACCAAAAAGATAAGTTTAGATTTAGACTGCTGATGATACTTAAGTGAGAAGAATTCCATCCATATCATCTGACCATTATGACCGTATAAGTAAAAACGCCTTTATTTTAGTATGTAAGGAAGCCTTTTTTCGGCTAGACACAGAATAACGTGTTATTATCTTAGATTATTTTTTTTTAAAGGGGAGAAATACTGGGATGGGGGAGTTTGCAAGTTCTCATTTAACATAATTTGGGAAATAAAGAAAAGGACCCTGATCGTGGACATACCCTGCATGAGATTGTGTTCACTGAACCCAGCAGAGTTACTTGCTCGTGCACATTGGCATGGGCAGATTGTGGTTGCTTGTTCAGTGGAGATAATGTAGAGATAAAGCCACAAGTCACGGTAAGGGTTTGCAGGTTCAAGCCCCTAGTTTTTGGGCAAAATACTGTTGAGTGCTGTACCTGCTCTGGTGTTCCAGAGAGGTTTGAAAAAGTATTTTTGTTTACATTTGCTTTGATGCCATTTTTACTTAGTCTTTTTTATTTCCCATGATTTTTGTTTTCCTACAGTGTGGCTGACAAGCCTAAAAAGCAGCAGAAGAGCCAGGAAATGTGCCCCAAACTCTGCATTAGGTGTGGAACCAGTTTCAATGTCTCCTTTTGCGCCCTCAGTGTGCTAGTGCACCAGATTGACTCGGTGCACAGGTTTCTCTGTCTTAGGCCACAGGGCCTTGTGAACCTGTCTTAGGCAACTGGTGGTGGCTCAGTTGTTCCAATATCATTGGCCAGTAAAGACCACGGTTGTGCAAAACCACTCAAAGATGTATTTGGCGGGTCTCTCCTCCCATACCTCTTAGCATTCATTCAACAGTCACCATTTTAGCAAACGGTGCTGGCAACGTTAACACTGAGACGTTGCTAGTATTTCTAGTCCCAAATGTCATAGTATTATCAGTGATTCCCTGTTGGGCAACATATAACTTAGATACAGAGGGAAGCAAATGCAGTGAGCTATTGAAAGATGGTAATGGTGGGGATTTTGCAGAAAGAGCCAGGACTAACCATGAAACCAGCATAATTTACAGTAAGTTTTGTCCATGAGGAGCTACATCAGTGGGAACAGGCATGAAGGATATTGGGGAAAAAGATGGGGAGAATTAGCAGGAATTTTAGGAAACCTGTGCTTAAAAATATTCCAGTTATTAATAGCTCTCTGATGAAGATGGAGTGTGATACACCTGCTACCTCCTGAGAATGATTTCTAACACATTCCCCATTAGCTTGGGAGTCTTTCAGGTGTTTTATCCTGTCCTGCCGTATCCTGGGATAAAATAAATGACACAAACATCTTTAGCTTTGTCCTTAACACCTGGAGAACATGATGTTACCTCCTTCTGCATTTGCATTTTTAATTTTTAGGCTGTTGTTTGAAGTTCATTTCCTTCGGCAGTATTGCTAGTACCTGCTCTGTGCTGCTTGTTTCTGACCTTTCTGCTGATTTGTGCCAGTATTCCTGTTCATGTGGCCACACAATAAACCGGACCAGCTGGTCTGAGTCGAAAGTGGCCGTTTTATTCTTGGTAGGTTGGTTTGACTCGGATCAGTTCGCTGCTCCGATTTACCGTGCAGCCACATGGGCGGTTGCAGTGGCCACACTGGCACTGCACAGCGGCTGTCGGAGCTCTCGGGGCTGCTGGAAGAAATGCTGCTCACATTGCAGCCTGAGCACAGCCTGGGGTTAGAAACAGTGGGGAACGTTAAAGGAAACTTATTTACAAAGGCAAATTAAAAGATCTTTAAAGTCCTATCTTGCAAGTAGTTGGCAGGTTTAAAGGTAAATGGATAAGGCCTTACTGATTTTAAATACAAGCAGGGAATAGGTTAACTCTGCAATACGCATGGTCTAAAATTGACCCTGAATTACTTCTTTTGTCTGATTTTCCTGATATTGACGGTAGTTGAAAGTCACTTATTACTACGGAACTTAAGTGAATTCTGATTTTAGGTTTCTGTTCAGTCTGTGAAACAGTGGGTTAAAGGAAACTTATTTACTTTACA